TTTAACTAAGATGTATTATTTTCTGAGTTTCACCTTTCGCTATCTATACCTGCCACTACTCCTAAGCCTATACAGGGGACCCCTGCAAGCATAGGTATCTCTCACAATTAGGTTAGGGGTATGCATGTTGCCCCCCGCCCTAATCGGCCGTGGTCAGTGAGTAGGGTGGGCCAGCCGGGGCGTGGTGCCACTACTAGGTAGTAGCAAAGAGGATAGGATCGAATGCCTGAATCTGGACGATATTATGGAGATGTGCAGGAAATCGAGATTGAACTGCTTTTCTGCATCTCTGCATAAAACACATCCAGATTCAGGATCTCGACCCTATCCTTTTGCTAGTGGGACCTCGGCCCCGGTGGGGGGGGGGGGGGTTTGCAGCTAACGCAAAGACCGAGCATTTTGCTCGGTACCTGCGCCACCCATCTACTTCCCCCACCGTCCATCGTGTGAGTGGGTTGTGTGTGGTGTGTGGGAGAGTGTTTTCCATAGCAATGCGATTTTTTTTTTTTTATTTTTTTTTTGCAATGTCCGCGCGCTAGCTCAATGTGATCGATAAAACCGAAAAAATACCTTTCTCGGCCTTTTGGGTAAGATCAAGTGTAGTATCTGTTCTGATCAGTTTAATATCTGATCCGTGGTCCATCGGACCACATTTAAAAAAAAAAAAAAAACGAAAAAACAAAGAGAGAATGCGCGCGCGGCCCGCTTCTCCGCTTGTATAAAAAAGTTCGTTCGTTTCTCAAAAAAAAAAAGACAAAAAAAAGGTGCGCGCTGTCCTCTGTGTAGCCCGCGGTTGAGCCGGTATACGCGAGACTACTGCCGTGGCGGTCTGGGATCTGCGTGCACATCGAGTAGTTAGCGGGATCTGCGTGCTCATCGAGTAGTTAGCGGGATCTGCGTGCACATTTTGTAGTTGGCGGGATCTGCGTGCCTTTGCCTTTCTCTTTTCTGAAAAAAAGGCGGGATCTGCGTGCACATTTTGTAGTTGGCGGGATCTGGGGCAAGGTCCCACTTACACGGCGGCAAGGTCCCACTTGCACGGGGGCAAGGTCCCACTTGCGCAAATTAGGAGATTTCGGCCGTTGATCTTTGCTATCTACGGTCAGTATCTCTTAATTCGTGCAAGTGGGACCTAGCCCCGGATTAAGAGATTCTGGCCGATGATCTTGGCTATCTACGGTCAATATCGCTTAATTCGTGTAAGTGGGACCTAGCCCCTGCGTGCACATTTTGTAGTTGGAGGGATCTGCATGCACATTTTGTAGTTGGCGGGATCTGCGAGCACATTTTGTAGTTGGCGGGATCTGCGTGCCTTTGCCTTTGCCTTTCTTTTTTCCATAAAAGTTTTCTTCCAGACAGGAACGGTTGCATTGGCGGGGTTACAGAGCGGAGGAGGAGGCTGGTGGGCTACCGGCCTCAGGGCTACCTGCCTACCGACAGACCGACCGACCGGAGGAGGGGAAGAGGCAGGGGCAGAGGGAGGGAGGGAGGGAGGGAGGGAGGGGCAGAGGGAGGCAATAATGTGTGAGAGAGCCGCTTGACTACGACTACAAGGTAGACCAGTTGGTGTCAGTCGGCGGACTGAAGGCATTGGCTGGAAGGATACAAGCGAGGGGAGGGGAACACAGAGAGCTGCTCCTGCGCTTCATGTTGAGGCGCTGGCTGGAGCGGAGGCAGCACCAAACTGCTGCCTGAGGGGAAACACGGCATGATTCGCTCTCTAACGATTACCAAACTCCGCGCTGTAGCAGCCAGCGGGAGGATCCAACTGACGCCAACTTCGTTCCCTGCGGGGAAAACAAGACGCATCAAGGTATGGTTCCGCTGTCCGCTGGAATGCAGGGGTGTTCTGAGTCCGACCGCGCGTGCATGCACTAGCTTGTCGGGGTGGCATCGTGTGGGAGCTTGCAAGTGTGTGTGTGTCACATGCGTACGTAAGTCTGTGTGTGTGTCTGTGTATCCAAGCGCACGGCGTGTACGTGAGTGTGTGCTTGAGGTCGGTCGTGTGTGTGTGTCACAGACGCACACACACACACACACACACACACACACACACACACACG